AGGTTTTTAGTTGAGATAAAAAAGTCAATGGCACGAGCGGGATTCGAACCCACGATCTTCGGCTAGATACGCCGCTGCTCTACCACTTGAGCTATCGTGACCTCGATCCACTCGGACACTAACTTCCCATCTCAACCCCACCTTTTGAATTTTCCCTCCTTTTTGCCATTTTAGATATTTTCATTTTTCTGTGGGATTACATTGCATTAAATTGTAATTACTGTTGTATTCAGTGTTAAATTCATTGCAATGCTCTTGGATATACAATGTTTTTGGTGATTTCATTTGGCATATATACAAACAACAAATCCCTTGGATACCTGGAGCATGCAACGTATAATTGTCCATCAGAAAACCATAGATTCTCCAAGTTTAATCCACGTAATAGCAATGATTGACCTTGTGATTTGTTTAGCATTACTGTAAGAGCCACTTTAATTGGAAATTACAATCATTTGAATTGGAAAGGAACTTCTGTTGGTATCATTGGTATATGTTGTTTTAGCACATCCTCTCCTTTAACTAAGAATATTAATATTATTCTAAGAACAATTAGTTGACGTTTTGGTGGTATTTTAAACAAAAGCAATGGTTAGGGATGTTAAGCTGGTAATTGACTATTGTCATGTTGTTCAATTTTTATTTACTTATTTTAAATTTAATTATCATAACAGGCAGCTTTTGATCACAATAGGGCAAAGATTGTCTTAATTCTCTAATTCTTACTCCACTTGCTTCATTTCATTCTTCGTCCGTAATTAAAATAACAAAATAAGTTGAAAGGGCATATTAACCAGAGCAAGTAGATTTACGTTTTTTAAGACATATTAGGGGTATTCACGAACTTTGTGTTAACCTGTTAAGTCTATTAGGTCCTATTGGATCGTGAAAAATGATGGCGTAGACTTGTAAGAATCGGCTTGTTAACATTGCTCGATTTAACAGGCCAGAGCTAATGTTAGGTGTAATTCACTAGTTTTCGTGGTCCGCTAGACCAATTAATATATTTCAATTAAATAAGGTTTTTAGTTCAGATAAAAAAGTCAGTGTCGCGACCTTCGGCCTTGTCACAAATGATCAAGTCATTAGAGCAGCGGCGTATTGAGCCGAAAGTGATGGGTTCGAATCCCTCTCGTGACACTGACTTTTTTATCTCGACTAAAAATCTTAATTAAATGTTAGGTGTTTGGTCGAAAATGTAGTCACATAGCTATCTGTTAGGAAGTAGGTCACCGACATGGCAGCCAAGAATTTAAGGAGAGAGAGACAGCATTTAAGAGCACATTTATAATTTATATATATATATATATAATTTAAGCACATTTATAATTTATATATAATATATAATTTAAGAGAACATTTAAGAGCTGTTTTTTGTTTACTCGTATTTTTATTCTTAAATGCGCGTTAATTAAATTTGACCAATCCATTTCTTTTGTAAATCTCTGACCTGTCCTTCACTGTCATATATCTTATAAAGTATAGGCTGTTAGACGTTAGGATACAAGTTAGGTATGTCGGCACGAATTGAAGCGTGTCGTTTGTTAGTACTTTGGGAGAGAGAGAGAGAGAGAGTGAGAGAGAAAGAGGGAGGGAGAGTGTGTGAAAGAGAGAGAGAGTGAGAGAGAGAGAGAGTGCTAATACGCTTTATAAATTCACTGATGTAAATTAACGATACTGGTTTCAATTCATTATTATTTCTATGTAAGGTCTTGGTTGAGATAAAAAAGTCAGTGTCACGAGCGGGATTCGAACCCACGATCTTCGGCTAGATACGCCGTTGCTCTACCACTTGAGCTATAGTGACTTCGATCCTCTCGGACACCAACACTCCATCTCAACCTAACATTTTGAATTTTCCTTTTTGCAATTTTTCAAAATTCAAAAGGTGGGGCCGAGATAAGAAGTTAGTTAAAAAACCTTAATTAATTGTAATATATTAATTGGTCAAGCGGACCACGAAATTAGTGAGTTTCGATCTTTATTGAGATCATCTTCAGGGCTCAGTGTTTGTTTTCCGTGTAGATGTGTCATTATTGTGTGTCGTGGGCTCTGCCAAACACTTTGAGCCCTGAAGATGATCTTAATAAAGATCGAAACGTTGGCACGATAAAGAAAATGTTTGTTTTTTAAACCTACGTCAAACCAGCCAGCATCTCATGACCTCCAAGTAATCATCAAGTAACGGCTACTAAACACCACACATTGCTTATTTACTTGAAATGCTCTAGTTGCAGAATGAAAGAAATAAATCGCAGGGTCGGACGGTTAAGGATCTTTGAACCAAAAAAAAAAATTATATTCCAATTGACTACGCATTATTGATTTTATTGGGTAACCTATTTGTAAATATTTAGGTGATGATGTTTCGATTGATCAGCACGATAAACGGAAAATATGGTTCATTTAATACGTAAGATGTTATTTTAACCCAATTGAAAGTGTCTTAAATTCGTAACTTGATCAATTTCCGTTCAATTTCCCGTTGAGCGGCTTTTTTTGGCAGAAAGCAATAGCGGCTAATGAAGAGCCTTCTCGCTTCTCCCCGATACAATTTCCCCTTTTCTGACAGTACTTACCGATTGTGAGGGTGTTGTGCGAGTAGTGTTCCGTCGTCAACGTTATATTGTGCGAAGCCCTTATGTGAATCGGGTGACCCTGTTTTGACCGAATGCTGGAGGCGACGAGATTCCCGAGGATGTAACTGTGACCGGCCACTTCGAGACCTCCTTCCACTATACGTACGTTTCCCATTCCATCCTGAAAAAAGATTCAATAGTTATTTATTTGTAATAGTTATTTATTTTATTATTATCATACCGTAATATAATATATTGTGTGTTGGCCTGCGAGTCTGTGAACCGGCACTGGGTCCGATCCAGTACGATTGAACTAGTACTTTTAAAAGTCCATTATATTTCGTGGTCCGATTGACCAAATAACTTCTTTCAATGAATTCATCTTTATGTAAGGTATTGGTTGAACTAAAAAAGCCAGCGGAACGAGCGGGATTCGAACCCACGACCTTCGGCTAAATACGTCGCTGCTCTACCACTTGAGGTATCGTGACTTCGATCCACTTGGACACCAACTTCCCATCTCAACTGAAGGTCGTAGATTCGAATCCCGCTCGTGACGCTGGCTTTTTTATTTCAACCAATACCTTACTTA